CCGCTTCAGATCTCATCGGTCAGTATGTCGGTCAAACCAGTCCCAAGACCAAGGCACAACTCGAAAATGCCCTCGGAAAAGTACTATTCGTGGACGAGGCGTATCGTCTTGCCGACGGACAATATGCAGCCGAAGCGGTCCACGAGTTTATATACCTTCTGGGCACCCCACGATACTCCGGCAAGATGATCGTCATTCTCGCAGGGTACTCTGTGGACATGTCTCGCTTGATGGCCGTCAGACCCTCGCTTTCGAGTCTCTTTCCTGACGAAATCGTTTTTGAGAAGCTGAAGCCCGCGGAATGCTTGTCCCTACTAGACCGGGAGCTCGAGAAAAGGCGAATTTCCGCCAGTTTCCTTAAGAATCCCTCTTCCCCGGGATATCGTCACCTGGCCAAGCTGTTTCGAATTCTATCCGTCTTTCCGACCTGGAGCAATGCCCGAGATATCAAGACACTAGCCGCGCAGATGTCATCGGTTGTGTTCGAAGTGATGGCTCAGGGTCACACAAGGGAACTGTTCTTCGAGCCTGCCACCGCGGACGCGTGCATACGGAGGATGATTGCTCTGCAACGAGAGAGATGCAATACCAGCGCTGGAAAGGCCGGTTGCCCAACACCAAATCAAACAGGTGAAGATTCCCTTGCCCGTGCCCAGGACGAAGCACCTCAAGATAACACAGCTACCCACGCCGACACTGCCACTGCCAAAGCTACTGACCAGGCGCCACTAATTTGCACCCCCCACCGCACCAAAGAAGCAGCCGGCCCCAGCGGCAGCAGACGAACGAACACATTCGGACCATCCTCTCCACAAGATGCTTCCAAGGTACAAGAAGAAATTGACAAAGAGGGCGAGTAGGAAAAGAGGGCGCAAAAAAAGCTGAGAGAGATGGGGGTCTGTGTGGCGGGATACAATTGGAAGAGAGTAGCGGGTGGATATGAATGCGAAGGAGGGACGCATAGTATCAGCGACACGCAGCTGCTTGCAAGTTGAGGCTGTGTTTGCGAATTTGTTGGATGTGTTATTTCGGAGTTCTACTTCTGTTTCAGCGTCGTTATTTGGTGTTTCGAGGGAGGCTACCGCACTTATGATACGAGTTATCTTTCAGCAAAAAAAAATGTGGGCAAAATTGACACGGTGTGAACCATGTATTTGGCCTAACCCCGTGTCAGTACGGTGATTTACCAACCACTCTTGCAAGTCCGGATGCTTGGAATTACAGAGTGCTGTGTTTGAGCAAATCCGGTGTGAATCTTGTATTTCTAACAACACGTATTCTGCTACAACCCCGATTGGCGTGGACTGTTAGCCAACACCAAAAAAAAACTCTCAAGAAACACGGATTTATTCTAATTCCGCAGTTGATTGCCCTTTGCATGAACTTGAATAAGAATTCGAAGAAAAGCGGTAGAGACCGCATTAAACGCAAACACAAGAAAAAATGAAACAAAACATCAAGGAGTCAAGAAACTGTAGGTATTGCATGTGGAAGAGGTACTTTCTTCATCACAGGCAAGACGTAACATGAAAGTTGTTCCACCACCCACCCGATGCTCATTCGTCACGGAGCCCTAAGTGAGAGTCCTCGCCATGCCACTGCACCCGCGGCGGATACCGCACTGGCACCACCGCGGATACCAGTGTCTTCCCCTACTGCTACTCGCCCTGCTGGACCTGCGGTGGATACTCTGATATCCCAAAGGCTGCTCCTCGCCCTGCCCACCAACGCGGATACCGTCTCCTTCTATTACTCCTTGTCCTACCGGCACCACCGTGGATACCGTCTCCTCCTACTGCTATTTGTCCTGCTGGATCTGTGGCGGATACCTTCTCACCCCTATTACTCCTCATCCTACTGGTACCACCGCGGATACCGTCTCCTTCAAGTAGGATACACGCCAAAACACCGCTTGCAAACGAGCCGCGAGTCAGAATCGGGGACAAATCTGGTCACAGCCACACCTGAAGATTATAACTACCTACATCCTATTCGTATCCGAGATCCAACATATAAAAACCCTCAAGGACTATCCATGGATCGTAGTGTGCTGGAGTTCCGAATATAATCGCCTCAAAAGTGCCGGCCTCTCCAATGCCGACACCCGAGGCGCCCACCCAAATTCAATCAGGAAGATTTTGACCCGCCTGATACGTTCTTCGGATACAGATCTAGCATTTAATCCATTGACGTGATATTGTGATGTTGATGTTGGTTCAAGGCACACTTTCTACCTATGTAAAAGTGCAAATCCGCGTGATTTTTACAGCTTTTCACGACCCATACCGGCCCACCACCACCACATGGAATCTTTCCCCGAACCCCTAAAATTCATACAATATGATACAGCTGCTCCTCAAATTACTGTGACGTAGCGAGAATCCCCAGACCTTACACGATCATTGGGTCTTGAGCGCAAATGGCGACACTTTCTCTCCTCTCAGGATGAGGCTGATTTTTGTCCTGCGGTCTATGCCATCGAAACTACGGTAGTAAAGAGAGGTTGTATGCCATGCTAGGTTACCTTTCCCAGCAACTTTGAAAATTATATAGAACTATCAGAGATGACTATCTATAGAACAATGAAAATGCGGACATCTGAAGGCTTTGAATTTTGTGGAGAATCTGAGAAGGTAGGTAGCTGGCACGGTTCCATGTATGGCCTCTTGCGGAAACGGAGCCAGCAATGCGGCCTCAGGACTGTGATTGTACCATGTCTCCAGGCCAAGCAGGTGAATTTCGGATAGCCGGGACTTGTTTCAGGACGGCGGCGGGGGTGCGATTTGTGTGAATGTCAACTGCTAGCGAGTGATATTCCGTGTCACTACGTTTTTTCATCCGTGCTTTGTCTTTTGAGGAGCTGGTGACACTGGATAGCTTCTACTATACCATATCTTTGCTCTCTGAAGTTTCTATGATGCAGAAAACGGTTGTTGTGCTGAGCCTACCAGGTTTTTGTCTGAAGTTTTGACTCGCCGGAACACGAATCCCTCACGCCGCGTCTCATTTAAAAAATCAACCATAAGGGTGGAGACTTCCAGATCTTGCCACATTGTAGATAGGAGGTAGAAGAGCAGCGTCCTTCTCCACAAGTTCTCTGGGCTTATATGATCTACTTTTCGAGAGATACCGGGGTGAGTGGATCTGTGTAGTCATTTTGGAACTCTAAGCCTAAACTTACGATTCATGGGATAGGGCCACAGGTATCCTCCGAAATTGGGCACAGCGGATTCACACACACAATGAGGCTCGTCAGTCACAATCGCGACGACCAGAACCAGACCAATAAACCGCATTTTTTATTCAATGATCCCCACCCCCATCGTCAGTGCGCCTGTCTCACTTCATCAAGAACTGCTGCGCCAACCCCATCAACCCAGCACCACCACCACCACCGCTACCTCCAGTAGCAGCATCCATCTTGCTCTTCAAGAAAAGCTTGAGTGCGAACTGTGCAGCCTGTCCGACCACGTCCTGCTTGGTCTCGGTGGGTGCCTACACCCCAGTTAATCCACGTGTATCAAATTAAAGAGAAATAAAAGTAAGACTTACCACATTGCCCTGCGCCCTCTGCGTATCGAACAGCTTGACCGCCTCGGCCATCGCCATGCCAATAAACGCATTCTGACCTCCGGCGGCGGCACCGCCCGAGCTTCCGCCACTGCCGCCCGTAAAGTGTTTCAGCGCCTGCATCGCCGCCGCCTGCCCAAGACTCTGGCTGCCGAGCTGTCCGGTGTTCCCGCCACCATACACCTGCTTGTGCGTATTGACGACTTCGTCCTCATCGACGTCGTCCTTGCGCGCCTGGCTGCCACTCAACATCTTGAGCGCACTACTAAACAACGATCCGCTCTCGGAGCTCTCTCGCTCGGCCACCTCAACGGCGCCCCGGTACTCCCCAGACGCACCGGAGTAGTACTCCTGCGCCGTATTCGCCCCAGCACCAGCACGGTACTCTCTACCAGCAGGAACATCCCTCTGCGCCTCCTCGCGAGAATACCCCCTCACATCGCGCTCGCTATCCTCGCCGTACGTCGCCCTTCCCTGCTCCTGCGCGCGGCCACCATGCCCACTATATCCACTCCCCCGCTCATCGTCCGACGGCCGCGGGTACCCGCGCACATCGCGCTCCGAGTCCTGGCCGTAGCCCGCCGGCCGCTGGTCCTGCGCCCGCCCCCCGTGCCCGCCGTAGCCCCGCATGTGGTCGTCGTCGCGCGGGTCGTGGCTCTGTGCTTCGTCGCGGCTGTAGCCGCGCGTGTCGCGCGATGAGTCCTCGCCGTACCCCGCCGGCCGTTGGTCTTGTGAGCGTCCGCCGTGGCCGCCGTAGCCGCTGCCAAGGTCCTCGTCTCGGCGCTCGTCACGGCCGTGCGAGGACTGGTTGGGTGGGTAGGAGGAGGAGGATGAGTGCTCGTTGCGGTTGGATGAGGAGGGGTAGGAGGCGCGCTCCCGGTCGGCGTCTGTGTCCCGCTCTCGCTCGGTGTCTCGGTCCTTGTCTTTGTCGTCCCGTCCGAGGGCTTTGTCAACGAGGGTGTCTTTGACGGCGGCAAAGATTGAGTCCATTGCTGTTTTATTTACTCGTAGTATTTGCTTGTGATTTGTGGGAAATTGAGTGTGATGGATGAGATGAGTATCGAGGGGGGAATTGAGTGATGAGTGAGATGAGCGTAGAGGCGGGCGGTGGGTTTATATCGAGCGGTATGTATACGTCACCGCCCTCCCTCCCCGCTCCCCGCGCTCCGCCCCCGTGCCACGCTGTGGTGGTGGGACGTCATGGCGTTATGGTTGCTCGGCGCATCTGGTCGCTGGGTGCATCTGGCCACTGGCACTGGTGGGTTGGTGGTGGCACCCTACGCATGTTGCCACCGCAGATGCAAGATGGTACTCAGGTAGTTTCTTGGTTTGTTGCTCGCACATGCACACCAAGGGCTTGGTGATGCATTAGTTACGATTGGCGTCGATGTCTCGAACACTTTGTCATAGATAGTCACTCGACGGTATCGTGATAATGAACGAATAAAGACTGGTTGGTATATTACGCCAAATCAAAGCAACCTCGCTCCGTCCTCCTTCTTCCCCTTATTTTCCCCATTCTCTATCCCATTCTACTTCTTCTCCTCCTCCGCAGCCGCGCCACCCGTAGTCGGCAGTCCGACCATGATCTTGAACGAATCATACATGAGCCACTGCAGACCGGTGAGGGTACCAATCATGACGATCCTGACAGGCAGACCATTCCACAACCCTCCGAACCCAATCTGCTTGTAGATTCTACTGGTGGCCTGGCCCGCGCTCTCGCCGGGCGCGCGCTTCTGGTTCAGCTTGGAGACCATCACGTCTGCCGGGTGTGATACGATCGCGCACAGGATTCCGGCGAGGTAGCCTCCCGTGAAGGATACCGCCGTCTGCACGCCCTTGCCGTATTGGTCCTTGGGCTTCGCGAGCCGCGCGTAGATCATCGAAACGATCGTTTCGAACGAGGCGAATTTCATCATCGTGTCTGGCAATCATGCATCAGCAACCATCCCCGCATTCCCCCTCTCCTCCCCCACCCAATCCCCCAGCTCGTTACTCACAAGGAATCTGCCTCCCCCACAACGGGACAATGCCCTTATACAGGCCAGCCACGCCCTCCTTCGCCACCACACTCGAGATGCCCTGGAAGGTGCCTGTGAACGTGGGCGGAATCGTCGTCTGCATGCGCACCTTGACCGCCTCGAACGGGCACAGCGCGATATCCGCCAGGAACTCTGCACTGGCCGACGCAGCAAGATAGACTCCGGTCTTGTAGCGCTCGGCGTTCTCGGGGCCCGCGAGCGTCGAGTACGCTTTCTTGAAGTACTCGTATCTGGCCGCACATCCCCGTCAACCCAGCCCAACCCAGCACGCCATTAACTAAGAAGGAGGAGACATACCCGCCGTATTTAAACGCTCCCTGCGCACTGTACCCAAAGAACGTGGGGGAGCCGCCGGTGTAGATCCCGCGCACGCCCTCGGCCCGCATGATCGTGCTCCACGCTTGGAAGTTGCCCTTGTAGAGCTTCGAATCCACTTGTCTGCGGCATTTGACAAGGTCTAGCGGGGTGACGGCGGTGTGTGTTACGCCCTACGTAGGTGGACGAGTGTCAGTGGAGGGCGGGGGAACTGGCGGGGGGCGGGGGAACTGGCGGGGAGCGGGGTGGGAAGAGGGGGGATGTACGCAAGCAAGCATCCCGCCAATGGTGCACGCGCCGTAGAATTTCGCGGAGTACAGCTCAATCCCCGGGCCGCCGGGGGTGGCTTTCGCGGCGAGTGCTTGCGCTTTGTCCATGGCTCGAGTGATATGCTGTGGGGTTCTGTGACTCCGTCGATGTGAAGATAAAAGGGAAGAACGAAGGAAAAGAAGTGCTCGTTATATTGTGTATCCGGCTCAACCGGCAGCCGAGTTGTGTTGTTGCTGCACCGTCTTATCTCCGGCACGCAGTTTATCCAGCAGCGGAAACCTGGAAGCTGAGACGTGAGGGGTGATGTCACTGCTAATATGCCTACTCTAGGGTTGAGGGAAAGCGAGTTGCCGGAACCTGACGGAGCGAGAATACATAGGAACTGGATAGAGGATACCATTACCACTGCGGGGGAATTGTCCATCCCGGCTGCGGATGAGGGAAATCTGAATCTCGATCGGTTTCGGAATGAACGCACAGTGGATTCTGGAAGAGCCATGGAACGTGCTTTACTAGGTACTACTCGTCGGTGTGGCGCTTCCCGTGTATCTGTGGCGGTGCACTACGTACTCTGGAGTACTTACCAGATCGCGTGGATATTTAAAGTCCACTGCAGCTAAACGCGGCAACTCCCTCACGCTCACGCCCACGCTCACGCATACGACACCTCGCCCGCGAACCTCACCACGATCACCAGCACAGCACGGCAACACCCACCACCTCCCATTCCCGGAACACACCACCCCCAGAACCGCCAAAATGCTCTTCGGCCTTCTCCCACTGATCAAGAGTGCGCCCCCAGTTCCCTCCGCTCCCCAATCCCTCCCCCCTCCCCCCTCCCCTAGCTCCCTTCCCCCCTTCCAGTAAGCTAACAACCCCCAGTGATAATCCTGATAATCAACGGCATCGCGATCCTCTCAGAAGACCGCTTCCTTGCGCGCATCGGCTGGGCAGCAACGCAGCCGGAGCAGGTGTCGTTTGGCGGGAACACGGGCGATGTCAGCATCAAGGCGAAGATGGTAAACCTCATATCGGCGACGAGGTTGTTGACTAGGAGTAAGTGCTTCTCTGCTGGGGGCTGGGGGCTGGAAGGGGTGGGGGAAGGGGAAGCTGGGGGTGTATTGTGGAATTGGGGGATTGGGCTAATGTGTCGACAACAGTACCGCTCATCGGGATTAATACTGTGGTTATCATCTACGAACTACTTCTGGGCTAGACGTTTCTCCTGACGGGGGAAGCGGCGGAGTAGGAGGAGGAGGAGGAGGATATCAATGCCATAGAATTACTGCTATTTTTACAAACTCTGCCTACGCACGATCCATATCCACTCCCTCATGTTGACACCGACCCACCACCCACCCAGATACCTCCGTAGCCCCCACCCCTCGCCGCCCTCCTCATCACCAGGCCTGAACACCCGCACGCCCCCAAACCCACGGATGACATCCACCACCTCGTACGGGCCAATCGTCTTCTCCTTCGCCGCGACGAGCGCATACTCCACGTCCTCCCAGAAGGCGGGCGTGAGCAGCGTAGTCGCGTCTTCCGTCTTGTCCCAGACTATGTGACTCGCATACTTAGGTGTCGAGGGGGGATACAGCGGCGCTTCCTGCAAGAACCGTGTGGCGCCGGTCATGCACGTCAACACGTCGAGGTGGACCTTCATCTCCGTGCCCGTAGTATTCCCCGACACCGCAAGCGCGTGAACCCTCTGCATCGCCTCGCCACCGGGGTAATTAAACGAGCTCACTGCGGCCATCCCGGCGGACGCCATTAAGCTCACGGGGACCGACGCGAGCACCGCCAGCAGTAGCAGTCGGATGGCCACAAACTTCGCGCGGCGATTCCACAGCCACGCCGCCGCGAGGGCGGACATCAGCGTGATCTGCGGGACGGTGTACACGATGAAGCGCCACTCTTTGTGTTTCACGGCGGCGGAGTAGACGGTGATGAACGAGAGCGCGGGTAGGAGGAGTGCGCGTGCTGCGTGCGGCAGCGCGAAGGCGCCCAGGGGTAGCAGCACGAGGCTGGTGGGGTTGAGCAGCAGCTTCGGCAGCGCGGAGGTGAAGTAGTAGTGCCAGTGACTATCCCCCCATTGCGAAGCGGAGCCCAGCACCGCGTTGAAGTGAAAGGCCGAGAACTCGGGCCACAGCAGGCCGAAGCGCTCCGTCAGCACCGGCGTGGTAAAGATCGGTGCGGCGCCGAACGACAGCCAGAAGTAGGAGTCCACCGCGAGCGTCGCCACAAGCCCCATGATCCCGCCGGCGAGCCCGGCAGCGAAGATTTGCGGCAGCGTCAGCCGCCGCGAAACTAGCAGGTCCAACGCCTGGAATGCCAGGAGCAGCACCAACTCGCTGCGGAATACCACCGTGGCGAGGGTCAGCAGGTAGATCCCGAGCTTGAGATGGTTCCGCTGCGTGGATTGCCGCCAGCCCGGCGCGGGAAGGAAACATGCGTGTGCGATCACCGAGGGGATCAGTGCGAATGTGTTGGGGAGCGTGCGCGAGGCGTAGTATGCAAAGTGGAATTGCGACAGCTGGAGTAATGTGTAGAACCATGCTGTGGGTGCGCCATAGGCGAGGCGCACGCGACGGATGTAGTAACTCAGTGCTAGAGAGGAGAGGAGACCGAGTGTGCCACGGACTGGTTGTGAGGCGTGTAAGCTGTGCGTGTCACGGAGGTGAGGGGGGACGCTGGACCTATTACTTGCTCGTTCACGGAGCCGCCAAAGAGGTGGATGAATGGTATGCTGGCTTGCGAGAGGAGAAGTGGCCCGACGAAGGAGCGAGGGACGGCACCTGGAAAGGCCAGGTGGTCATAGTGCGCGGTGAGATAGGAGGTAACGTTGCTGGTTGGGAGGCCGTGGCGAAGTATGTCGTGAGTGGCCTGGAGGGAGAAGGATTCCTCGACTTTGGTGAAGGGCGAGACGAGTAGGTGGCTCAGGATCGTGAGCGGTGGCAGCAGGTGCAAGATGACATCTAGATGCCAGTTAGTAGAAGGTCTGGCATCGAGGCGGCAGAGTTGTCGACAGACCCATTGCGCCCATTGTGATGGTAGGATCGAGCCTTGGGGTGACGTTGAATCTAGGATACCGGCTACAGTTGAGTTACCAGGGAGCTCGAGATAGAATAGGCACCTAACTATACACGTCATGTCGATCGTTGGTGGCGCTCGAAATCTCAATCGCGTAACGACCATCTATTACCACCCTTAGACCGCGCGAAATCATTAAACAAAAGCAAACCGCTCAATAACAATGATAAAACTCATAAAACATACACAGGTGACAGGAGCAAAAGCAGAATAGAGCAAAGAAACACCATTAAACACCATTATCTCCCCAGAAAGCCAACCCCAATACTTGAATGAAATAGACCTTCCCCGAGCACTATCCTTCGTCCAGTCATTCTTATTTTCTCAGCCCTCTCCCACACTCCCATAATAATAAGAAACACATAAAGCATCTCGTAAAAATAATGCCCAAACACCACACCCCATCACTCGAGCGTTGTACCACAAGCCAAACAATCAACAGTTTCATCCCATTCCTGAATCTTGTATTCAGCATGTTCGTGTTCGTGATTCTTATTTCCAACTGTAGCACTGACACCGCGGATATCACGCACATGCGCCATCACCTTCTTGCCGTCGACGAACGTAACCTGTATCTTTTCGAGCTCGGCGAGTATCTCCTTCTTCGTCTTCCTCTTTCCGTTCTTTGCATGCACCGCCCCGGCCGCAATATGCGTATTCTTCTTTGGCATCTCGGGGACGGCAGCAGTGCGCAGCGCAGGGACGGTAAGCCCCACACCCACACCCGTACCGCCGCCCTTCCGCTTCGGCGCCACCTTGACCAAGCCCCCACCACCCTCGGTAATATCCACGTCCATCTTATACTCCGTCCTCGGCGGCGGCCCACCCCCGCGCTCCATCACCCGCTTTTTGACTTCTTCAATCAGACACTCCTCATGCAACCACTTCCCACACGCCGGATTACCGCAGCCGTACATCTTCCTGTCGGGATTATAATATCTGTCACACCTGCAGTGCCTCCTGACCTCACCAACCGTTTTGCTCATGTAGTCGTAAATCTGTCTCCAGTAGAGCATCGGCAGCTCCTCGTCGTCATCCATTTCGAGCCAATGTCCAACCTGGGCCTTTCCAATGACCGTCATAGCATCGACCACATCCATGTGATTACTATTGACCACCTCGTTGGCGCCATGATGCCACTGCTTCCCGCCCTTCAGGTCCCCGGGCCGGTACATCCAGTAGATCCGCAGGTACACGTGGAATTCGTCCGAGGCCTTGATCTCGAGAATCCGCGCGATCCAGAACTTCGACTCGTCCACGCTTGTCAGCTCCGTCCCGTGCGGTATGCTCTCGTTGTTGATGTACACAAAGTCGCCGGGCACGAAGTGCTCCTCACCGACTGTCCCAGCATCAGCAAGCATCACCCCCACTCCCATCCTCCCCCGCCCCAAAAACAACAATCACAACCCACCAGTAAAATCCCGATACCTCTTCAAGGCCTTCCACTTCTTCTCCGGCCGTACAATATAGACGGTATTCGAATCCTCCGGGGGGCGTCTGACATCGATGGCGGAGGCAGCCGGCTTCGCACAGTACCTTCCCGTCCTCCCCTGGCGGAACTCAATGTTGAACGGACAGTCGACGACGGGCGTGTGCGCCTGCGACGAGGACGAGGCCGGGTTGCTGCTGGACGTCGGCGTGAGCACGCGGGCTGTTACAGCGATGGTCGCGGCGTCAGGGCCGGCGGAGGCGGAGGTGGAGGCACCAACATCCACCGCCGCGGGAGGCGTCAGTGTGCTGGTGCGCTTGCGCTTGCTGCTTTGAGACATTGAGTGGAGGGGCACGGAGGATTGGAGAGGGCGTTGGTGGGTGTATAGTACTACACAAGAGTGTACGCGTCGGGATGTAGAGTAGGGTAAGTAAGGAGATAGCTATTTCTCTAGGTGGGATGTATCTAGGCAAGGTACGGTAGCCGAGAACGGTTCGTGCCGATCGTATCTATCAAACGTGCTGATTTCTGACCTGCACGCAACGATCTGGTCATTCGAAAGCTGTGGCACAGACCCGAGACTAAACAAAGCCGGGCTATCTACCGGTCACGTGGTGTCCCACCGCGCCGACCACAGTTCCGGAATTCGATTCTTTGGTGACAGGAAAGGAAACGAGATAAAAGTGGTTTCCGTCGGAGGTCTTGCTACTCTAGATCTACGATATTCCTTCGAATCTCACTATTCCATACAACGGAATGCGTGGACGGCTCAAGCCCGTTCACCCACCGGCCAAAGCAACATCTCGCCATGTACCGTATTAACATTATCGACTCCCTCACGCCTTACGTCACCCAGGATATAAATCTTGCATGGAGCACACAACACAAGTACACCCCCAACTCCGGAACCGAAACTCCCCTACCGCAAAGCCTCCATCTTCTTTTCAATCTCCCTAACCCACGTCTCAACCTTGACCATGTTCCCCTCGACCGTCTGCCCGCTCGTCTTGACCACCTCCTCGACTTTACCCAGCGTCTCCTCCCACTTCAGTATCTCTGCCGCCATCTCCTCCTGCCGCTTCTCCACTGCCACCAGGATCTCGGCCGCCCTAGCCGCATCCTGATGCACGGCCCTCAGACTCCGCAACCGATCCAGCAGCGCCGGCAGCAGCGGTTTCATACTCTCGATGGTCGGCAAGACGCCATACAGCGCATTGATCTTCGCGGTGGTCTCATCATCCTCCTCGGCCGTTACCGCCTCCGTCTTCGCCGCCTTCCGCGCCTCCGCCAGCTTCTCGGTGTCGGCGGTGAGCTGCTTTACGCGGCGCGACGCGGAGTCGAGCGAGCTGGTCGTGCTGCTGTTCAGCACCGTCATCTGCCGCGAAAGCTCCTCGAGATGCGGGATCATTGCGGGGGCGAGCAGGGAGTCGCTGTCGGCGTCGAGCGTGAGCGCTGACATGCCCAGCACCTTCTCGAGAAACGTTATGCGGTCGTCGAATTCTGCCACTTTGGCCAGTGTGTGTGTCTTCTTGTAGTCCGGGGCATATGTGACGGTGTACGTTGATGTGGTCCCGGACTCCATATCCTATCGATCATCAGCCGCCGTACTCCACTATGCATAGAAAAGACCCCACCTCTCCCTTTTCCGCCTCCCCCCCCTCCCCAACCACCCCGGGCGGCACCTCCTTAGTAGCTGTGACCACCCGTCCCTCCATTAACCTCTTCAACCTCCCCGGCGCGCCATCGACCAACATCTCCAACGCCTGCGCCAGTTCCTTCACCCCGTCCCCCTCACCCTCTTTCTCCCCCACCTCCTGCGCCCTAACCTCCTCCACCTCCCTAACCAACCTCGCAATCCGCATCTCCCTCGTCTCGCCCTCCCACTTCCGTCGGACTTTGTAGCTCCGACCGCCATCAATCCTGTCCGAGAAGTCCACGTCACTGGCATCCACCTCTGCATGTAGAAACCTCTTCGCGGCATCGCTGGGCTGCAGCGGGGTTGCGTCGATACTGCTGGTCGACGAGCCGGCGGACGACGAGGCGTCGTCAATATCTGGGAGGGTGGTGCCCGGAGCTGTCGAGACATCGGAGGTCAAGTCGGGTGTTTCGTAGATGTCTTGAGAGTTGTCCTGGAAAGGGACGGGGAGGTGTTAGCATGGCTCTGGGGAGCTGCTCGGAGGAGCGTGGGGCAGTACGAGATCGGGTAGTGCGGCGTATTTAGAAGACATTGTGGAGGTGTAGTCTCGCGACATTTTGTGTTTGGTTTGGATTTCGGGATGGCGAGGGAGGCGGGCGCGAGTGATGGGCCGGTTATTTGTATGGGGTAGATATGGAGGTGAGGTATGGGTGGAGCTGGCTGATGCTGGATGAGCTATGCACCGGTGTGGATCTTACATACAGGGTTCTCGGGCTTGGCAGCAGCTGAGGACGTGACAGCCACGCATCGAAGCACGTTCACCATGCACATCACCGTTCTCACTACTCAGGTACACACCAGACCTTCTTCACTGGAACCCTCTACTCATTCTCATACTGTCCTGACCATCACCTGTTCCCTAGTCTTCCATCTACGTTAGATACGAATCTCTTAAAGAGGATAAGAAAAGAAAGAAAGACAAGAAACCCCTTTATACAAATACAAGCCTTCATCCCCTCACGCCTACCCCCACCGATCCATACCCCATCCCCGATCCCCCTGCTCCCCCAAAATCAAACGCAGAATGCAGTATACGCGGAAACTCCAATCAAACAATACCGAGAAAACTAAACATACAAGAAAGAAAACCGGAACCAGCTCATTTCAAGTCTCACTTTATCACCTTTTTCTTTCTAGCTCCTCTCTGTCGGTTATAACTGAAATAAGACAAACGGACAAGAATAAAAACAATAAGCAAGAGACAGTAGCGACGCCATCCCCAAGTCTACGTCTACGAGTGTGATCCTTCAAAACTCCCAGTTCTCATCCGCGGACTGCAACGCCCAATTGAACTTGTCCCGGAGAGTCTTGGTGAAAACCTTCTCGATGGGTACGTTGTACTTCTTGCAAAACATAACCGTCAAGCGAGGGTCGATGTAGTTCTGATTGATATAATTAGCTTCAACTCGAGAACAAAGGAAGGAAGCAGTCGGAGCTCACAATCTTGGAAGTACCCAAGGCGACAGTCTTGTTGTCGTCCCTGACCTTGGCTTCGACTTCAAGTTTGCGGATACGCTCGTCCATCTTCTCGATGCTAGCCTCGATCTTTTCGATGGTGGCACCTCGGGTTTTGGGCTCGGTGGTGCCGGACTTGTTCTCCTTCTTGAACTCGTCCTCCATCTCCTTGAGGGCCTTCAGGCGCTCGTTGAGGTCGGCGGTTTTCAATTCCTTCTCGCCCTCGGCAGCAAGCTTCTCGTTTTCCTTTTCGAATTTCTTCGTGATCTTCTCACGTTCCTGTTCTATAAGGGCCTTCTGGTGCTCTTTGATCCAGTCATCGTCGTCGATTTCCGGATCCGGCTTGAAGAACTCGGGATTCTTCTTCTTCCGCTTAGGATCGAGGAAGAGGATCTGTCTCTTCAGGCGCAACTTCTGATACCGAAGAGCTTTGATCTGTACGCTCCCGTTAGAAACGAGGTTACCGCTGTAAGGGGCGGATTATCATACCCTCTCTCCCGCCTTGGCCAA